CCACTTTGTGGGGGGGCCGGTTCAAGCTCTACCAAATTTCCAAACGACTCTTCGCCACCACCCACACCCAGCTTCCCGCCCTATGACGTTCGGACACTTCACTTCGTGGCATGCGGACGACCGTGGCTACTATTCAGGGCCCCGCGGCCGACGACGACGGCGTGCGCGCGCGAAGAAAAAACGAATGTGTCCCGCATGGTATTATTTGACAGGGATGATGGCCCTGGCAGGTGCGCAACCGTTGTTGCAGAAGTTCGAAAAAGTTGCTCGCAAAAGCCCGTTTGACAGAAATGTTTAAAAAGTGTTGGGTTTCCTACGAATCCGCAAGAGCGCGCGGGATGAAATTTTGACAATTTTTTTTGAAAAACCATTGGTTTTTTGATGTTTTTATGTTAAAATCGCTACGAACACTAAGGTTTTGGAAGGATTTCGTCTTGCGCGCGCGAATGTCCACTTTACCTTATTTTTTGCAAGGGATTCTTGAAATTTGATTATATTAGAACAAGAAATGTCATTTTATTGTTTTTTGCAAGGGAAAACGGATTACAACAAAACAACCGGATCTGGATCACATCGTTTTACCTGAGGCTTCCTCACGAAAATGATGAAAATGTGGCTGCGGCCTAGGCGCGGCGGGGGGGGCGTGCACCAGGGGGCCCAACAATAATTATTCTTTAGAAGTAATAATGTTCAACAACAACAACAACAACAACAACAACAACAACAACAACAACAACAACAACAACAACAACAACAACAACAACAACAACAACAACAACAACAACAACAACAACAACAACAACAGCAGCAGCAGCAGCAGCAGCAACAACAACAACAACTGCAGGCCGCAGGATGAGGAGGGGGCCGGGGAAGAGGCCCCAAGGGGCAGGGTGCGCGGAGAGGGAGGAGGCGGAGGCTGCGGGCCAGCGGGCGCCCGGACGGCCGGCGGCGGCACCCCTGGCGCCCGCGGAGGTGCGGCCGCGAGGGCGCCACGCGGGGCGGCGCCACCGTGCCCCGACCCTAAGAGAGTGCCGCGGCGCAGCCTGCGGCCGCGCGGCGCAGCGCCGCACGGCGGCGATGCAGAGCGGAGGGCTCACTCCACTCGAGCCAGCCTGGTTCGGAGGAGGACGAGTTGAGGCAACGACTGGTCAAAATCGGATCTCTGGAGGGTTCAAGTCCAAGCGCGCCAGTCTTCCGAGCTGCGTTCAGCTGTGGCGACGAGGGCCCCCCCCGAAAGCCAACTGCCGTTGTCTCAGCTCGCCAGCCTCTGATCGGCCCAGCGCGAGCGACCCTGGGCAAGAGTGACCTGTTGTGCACGGCTCCGGGGGGCCGCGGGTGGGCCGAATCCAAGCGCGCACGCCAGTGCCAGGGGGGGCTCTCGTGGTCACTCCAGCGAAGGGTCACTCTGGCGAAGGGCCACTCCGGCGGAGGACCACTCTTACGCCTGGCCGACCTGCTCGCTGCACTCGGGCCGCCCCGGCCTGCGCGCGCCAGGCGCTGGCGGCCGACAGGCGCTTTGGACGACGGGCGGCGGGCTGCGGCAGCGCCGCGCACACGGCGCTGGCGCGCGGCGCGCCGGCGCGCGCCCGGCCTGGCCTCCGCAGCGATCCCTGGCCCCCGGGCTGCCCCGTGCCTGGCGGGTCCCCCCTGGCGGGGTCCTCCCCCCTCTTCCCCCTGGGCGCTGCTTGCCGGGGGGGCGGTAAAGTTGGGGGGGGCGATGGCACGCGCAACCTTCGTACCCCTTTGGGGCCCGGGGGGGCCCTTCTGGGGATTCAAAGGAGCACGAAAGGTGCGACATCCTTCACCCCCCCATTGATCGCCCCCCTCCCACCCCCATTACGCAGCGCCCGACGCCCTTCGCGATGCGCCACGCCAGGTGCAGTGCGGGGGCCCGCTGGCGCACGGGCTGGGCCCGCGGAGAGCGGACGTGCTGTCGCATCCCTGCGAGCAGCTCTCGCTGGCGGCAGGAGTGGACGGGTGCCAAGAGGGGTGCCTAGAGGTAGGCGCTCGCAAGTCAGAGTCGGGGAACACCAGGTTCGCCTGCAACGGTGGACGCCCGAGGGCGGGGAGGTGCGCCGATGCACACGCGGCCAGCTGGCGACACCATATCGGTGGGCGTGGCCTGCGCGGACACAGGCGGCTGAGACTCCCAAGCGCACCCGCAGTGCCGTGGCAAGGATGGCACATGATGGCGGAAGCCTGGCTTTTGAAGATGAAGCTGCAGGGAAGGGCGGTGTCGGGGGAAAACTGGCCAGCTTGCCAAAACGGCAAGGGGGCGACGAGCTGAGCGGGGCCGTCACCAGGCGAACCCTGCAGTAACGGCCAAGCAGTGAGCAGAACCCAGCCCACGCTTCTCGTCAAGAGACGGCGCACCTTCCCGCCAGCCATGGACTCTGCTCGAGGGACTCCTCCTTCTCTTTTTTCCCTGGCAAATCAGAAATGCATGTTGGAAGTGGAACGGCCCGCTGGGGACGCACAGCCGGTGCGGTACAAGATGCTC